TGTGACCTGGGGAGAGGCCTGGTCCTGGGTGCATGCCCTTGTCCTGCGTGCTGTGCTGAGGTGTGGGAGGCACCAGTGAGCAGCTCCCGGTAGACGGCCCCGTGGGAAGGGCCTCATCCAGGCAGGGACTGGGAGACTTATCTCTGAGTTCCTCGTCTAGCCTTCCGAGAAATGATGTTTTTAGGGGAAACGGAGGCTCAGGGGAACACTCACTCAAGGCTGAGGTTTTCTGCTTCTACTCCAGTATTTCCCTTTGGACCACTTTGTTCATTCTTAAGCAGTGCTTGGGTGAGATGTGTGTGTGTGTGCGTGTGCATGTGCATGTGCCTGGCATCGCAGCATTGACTCTAGCTCTCTGGGGCTTTTGTAGTGCTCGGAGACGCAGCAGCTAGGGCCAGGCGAGCCATGCTTTCCATTTCCGGTGGGATCCTGTGTAGTAGTGGCCCAAACATTTCTGGGTTTCGGTCCTCTGAAGGACTCTGGAGGACCATGGGGGATGGCAGTGGGGATGCACATGTTTCAACTCTGCATGTAACTGTGGGACCCCAGCACTCTCCAGGCCATGTAATCTACAGTTTAGCAAGGCGGATTCCCAGCCCCCTGCGGCTTTCTGGGATCTCGCCTTTCCCCTCAGTTCCCTACCGGGCCATCTGTAAACTTCAGGCTAAAACCTCCAACTCAATCTTGTTACCCAAGTGCATTTTTTTTTCTTGTTCTTTTTTAGATTCTTGTCATAGGGTAAGTGCACTCGCCAGAGAGAGAGAGGGTGGGGGGGAGTGAGAAATCACCTTCCTGGGGAGATGGCCATGCCTCAATCCCTTCTCCTCCATTCTCCTCTAGAGATTTTTGGGCACACATAGCCACACACACACACACACCAGGTGTGATTTTTCAAGTCACAGGGTCCAGTACTAGAACCACATTGATCATGTGGGATTCCAGCACCTTAACCACCACGTCACCTGCGGCCCCCCCAAGTGTAGATAGGCCTGCAAGGGCCACCTTCAGGAGCTGGAGGAGGCCTTTGACGTCTCTGCCTATGAAGCAGACCAGGGAGGCTGCGGCTGAGGCTCGGCGGAAGACAGACCGAAAGCGAGGCCGGTGCCGCCTTCCTCCAGCCCGCTCCCCTCAGCCTGGGCTTTCCCAGAGATGTTCCCTTTGCCCAGGACAGTCCTTATCAGACCGGCAG